AGACCAAAACTCCCAGCAACTACACTCCATCAACAACCAGCAACTCAACTTGATTCAACAACTCCATTGATTACAAGACATGGACAACAAGGGCAAGAAAGTCTCTACGGGCTCACCCAGCGCCCAAGAAACTCAACACGGCAACTCTGGTCTGCACACCTCAGGACTGCAGACAGAGACCGGGACTGCTCAAGAAACAACGGGAAGAGTACCAGAGATGGTGACCCCGTCTCCATCTTCAAGTGTGGACCCGAATCTCATGGAGAGATTCTTCAGCTTCATGTCACACTTCGATCAGCAGCAGCAGACAAGGACACCTGCGCACTCAACACAGAGCAATGGAGGGAATATGGGATTAGCGCCGATGAGCCTCGACAACTCATCCTTCGGGCGACACAATCAAGCGCCTACCTTTGCGCCTTATCACTCTTCACCGGGGACGTTCGAGTTCATGCCGCCCCGTGCCCAACCAACAGCAGCTGCATCACAACAAACACCAAACGAGATTTTAAGTCTCCAGGCACAGTTTTCACACGTGATTAAACTGCAGACATCATCCCCATTCAACGGACACGACTTCTTTACCTGGAGCTTCGAGTTCGAGCTGCTGATGGAGGCCGCGCATCTTCTGGGATACTTCAACGGGTCCCTGCCATTCCCAAGCAACGGCACTGGGAAGGAACAAGAAATCTTCACGTATCAGTCGCTGCTGGCGTATACGGCGTTTACCGTGCAGCAGACCCACAAGTTGCTTCCACTCAAGCAAGTTCCCCAAGGCGCTCTTCAACATCTGCACAAGGGACACCAAATATCATCAACTGCATGGTACACATCGACAACTCCGCACCCGGATCACCACCCACTTACGCACCAGACGAAGAGGAATTCCCGCCGCCGCGCTCACAAGGACTTCAGGTCAACCCAACATACGCTGCGGTCGCCAACGCCGAACCCACTGGGCGAAACACCTGGTTCTTGGACAGCTGCTGCGGTCAACACATGTGCTCCTCGGGACGCTTCGTGCAACAGGAGAAACGCCTCAACCGCGACGTCGTCATCACCGTCGCCAACAACGAAAACCTGAAAACAAACAGACAGGGCGTGGTTCAGTTACAATCCATGGAGACGAATGTCATACTTCAACTCAACAAGGTGCTCATTGTCGACAATCTGGGATACAATCTACTAAGCGTAAGCCAACTAATGGCCAAGGGGATTCACCTGGAGTGCGACTCTTACTCCAACGAGTTCCGGCTTTACCACGGGAAGGGCGGCCTCTTCATCGGTCGTGCCCTCCTGAAGTCCGGCGTCTTCGTGTTGGACTTCGTCCCCGACCGCGGAACTGCCGACAGCGATGGCATCGTATCGTTCGCCGCCTGGACTCACCCGCCGGATCTTGACCCCGACTTCGACAGTGACGGCTTCTGGCACTCCAACACCATACCTGCAGCAGAGAGAACACGAGCATTAGCAGTTATCAGACAAAAAAGACAAGTACCCGCAAGTGTCCCAACAAAACCATCACCTGCAGTATCGGCAGCAGGACCCAGCCGAGTACCACCACCATCAACACGAGGACCGCCAACGGAAGCAGACCAACTTATGCCCGCCACACGAGAAGCTTGTCGAAGTCCCGCCTCAGTCGTCGCGTTCTTCTCCAACGCCGACATCTACCACCGCTCGCCCGGCCACCGCGCTCCCGACGACATCTGGCACCAACGTCTCGGACATCCTGCAAACAGCACGATACTTCAAACAATCCAAGCAGAGGTGTTAGAACGCAACGCCCTTCTGACGACGAACGGCCAGGAACTCCGACGACCACGCGCACGGTGCTTCACATGCCCCGAAGCAGATCTTCCTCATCAACCTTTCCCAGCCCATCACAATCCAAGCGCACCCACTTACGCTCCGATGGAAAAGGTCTACAGCGATATTCTAAACATGCCTCGAGACGACACCGAAGCCGACTTCAACTACGTCATCACGTTCATCGACGCAGCAACCAGATACGTCTGGCACTTCAATCTCAAAACGCGCGATCAAGCCTTCGAGGCCTTCACCACATGGCTTCCAATCGCCGAACGAGAGTCAGGAACCAAACTCAAGAGTTTCCAGTCAGACGGTGCACTGGAATACCAGTCACAACGCTTCAGGACCTATCTCGCGGAAAGGGGAATCCGACGCCTGGTGTCTCTGCCCTATGCTCACCAGCAGCAGGGGGTAGCAGAACGCATGAACCGGACCTTGCAGACGACGATGCGAAAACTGCTTCTGGGGATGAGGCTGCCCAACGCACTGTGGCCAGACGCGATGACACATGCTGTTCACCTGCACAACCTGCTGTCCTCGTCATCACTTCCCAACAACGCATCGCCGCACCTGTTGTGGACAAGAAAAAGGGGCAGCACAAAATTACTCCGCGTTTTCGGCTGCATGGTACAGTACAGACCCCACACAGCCCGAGCAGGACGCTTCTCACAAAGAGCTCGATGGGGACTACACCTCGGCATCGCAAAACATTTTCACGCGTGGAGAATTCTCGACATACAAGACAAAAACACGGTGGCATCACGCGATGTTATCTTCTACGAACGACTGACGCTGCAGCATTACCTGGACAACCTTGCCAACACACAAGACCCCACCGACGGCTTCGCGGGCCTTCGCTCCTTCGCTGACCACACTGCCGAGGCTGACGCAGCAGAAGAAGACGTACCTGGAGCCTCGGAAGCTGCCGGACCACTCCCATTCTGTTCCGTACCTGTTCCACTCGATGAAGATAATCCCCTCGATAGCAACAACCTCGACACCTTTTACCACTTCGCCGACCAAGGTTACGCTACACCTCACCCCGTCGACACGAATATTTCGGAACGCATCGGCCCCAATTTCTTACCTGACCCCGAAGACGGTGACGAAGCAGCTTATTCCGGGAATGAAAATTCCCCTCGACACACGCCCACGGGACTCCAGATTCTAGGCCTCTGGGTCTCCGTCCAGAATCCGCCGCCGCCTTCTCCGCGAGAGCCTTCAACGTTGTCGCAGGCTCTGGGGGGGGAACATAAGGCAAGATGGAAGGAAGCAATGGAAAAGGAGTTAAAAGCTCTGCAAGACCGAGAAACGTGGAAACTGGTACCTGCAACGAGCATCAACGGAAAAAACGTTCTCTCGGGGAAATGGGTGTACCGCATCAAGACCAACTCAGACGGTTCCGTCGAACGATTCAAAGCTCGATGGGTCGTACGAGGCTTCGACCAACGATACGGAGCCGACTACACAGAAACCTTCGCTCCAGTCTCCCGTCACACCTCATTACGCATCCTACTCGCCGTCGCGGCCACGAAAAAACTGCCACTACGCCAAATCGATGTCGCGAATGCATTCCTATACGCACCTGTGGACGCTGAGATCTTCGTCGAACAACCCCACGGATTCATCAACGATCCCACGAAAATATGCCGACTGACAAAATCCCTATACGGGATCAAGCAAGCCCCGCGGCTCTGGCAGCAGCATCTCCACGGCCGTCTCGCAAAGATCGGCTTCCTACAATTACCGCATGACCAAGGGATGTACCGACTGCAGAAGGGAAGAGATTATGTTCTGCTCATCGTCTACGTCGACGACCTGCTCTACATCGGCTCCACTATCGACATCGCCACCTGGTTCGAAGGGGAGCTGAAAGAAGATTTAACTCTCACGGTGTCCGACGAAGTTACCCAGTACCTAGGACTGAACATCGTCGAAGACGACACGGCGTTCTACCTACACGCTGGAAAGTACTCAAGCACCGTCGCGAAGAAATTCGGTCTAGCACCGACTGCGGTCCCAACTCCCTACCGCTACGGGAACAACAGTAGCGCCTCCACAAAACTCCCCGCGAAACAAATCCAGGAGTATCAACAGAAGCTCGGTTGCCTACTATTCGCAGCAGTAACCTGCCGACCCGACCTATCCTATAGTGCGAGTCAGCTGGCGACACATCTGAAGCAGCCGCAACAGGAAGATCTCGAAGAACTCAATCGAGCGCTACTCTACTTCGTCTCCACGCCGACGATCGGGCTCACCTACAGCAAGGCAACAACACCGTCCGTACAACTACTCGGATACGTCGACGCCGACCACGCGGGAGACAGCGAAAATCGACGGTCTAGGACGGGCTACATCTACCGACTAGAACCTATCGGAACTATCTCCTGGCAGTCGAGCAAGCAGGAGTTAATCGCACTATCCTCGGCTGAAGCAGAGTATGTCGCCCTTTGTACTGCGACCAGGGAAGGACTCTACCTACGAGAGTTACTCGAAGAAGCGAAGATCGCGACCCTGCCCGCCTTCTCACTCCTCTGCGACAACCAATCTGCAATCAAAATCGCGAACAAGGACGGCTTCGCCAACCGAACCAAGCACATCGCCCTGCGGTACTTCTTCGTCAAGGATGAAATCGCGAAGGGGAGACTTCAACTCAGTTACTGCCCGACGACAGAAATGGCCGCAGATTATCTGACGAAGAAATTGGCGAAAGCAAAATTCGACTACTGCATGCTCCTAACCGGGCAAACAAACGTCACCGGATCTGAACACTCCAGCACTCCAGAAACGAAGGGGAGTGTTGGAAATATCTCAAGGACTTAAGCGTTTCTGAAGTGTAACACTGTACTCGAGGAAGATTACAGGGGAGCACGCGAGTCAACGGAGGTTACACGAGGGGGCGGACAAAGAAAGCGAAAGGACTCGAAAGGTCGCAACTGGAGGTTGCGACTGACCGTTACAACATCACAGATGGTAACCGAAGCGGCAATCGAGTCGCTGTGCGACTCGATAAACCGCTCCTGTAACTGTATTCTACAACTGCTTTCTTATCTTCTATATATTGCTGTATGCTTGTTTCTTTAATCAATCACTTGTTCTCACATACTAGTACAAGGGTTCAACCGTCTCAACTTCCGCTGCACTACTCCAAGTCTCAAGTCTTTACAGCTGGGACTTAGTCTCTGCAAAAGATCCTAAGGGCTTTTCTCAGCCCAACAAAGACAATGCTCCCAAATCTCTTGAACATCAGTTTCATTTTCGCTGTGCCAGACCAACCATGTCTTGAGTTGTGGTTGAAACGTGCACCCACAATGACTAACAAGCAAGACGGGCTCCATGAGGAGGCTCGCTGCTTTAAATTGCTTCAAGGTGCTCAAATCAGGACTATGGTACATCTGAATAAATCCGGAACACAGTTGAATTTACTTCCACGTTTGATCGGATTTACTTGTTCATACGCAATGACGAGATTACGGTACTCAAGCCCAGGAGTGAGTGTCAAATGGCCTAAACTCCAACAGCCACAGATTGTGGGTTGTTGATTCCGCCCAGGAACGACATGTAGGTGCCAGGGGCAGGGCCTTGATCCACGAACAAGTCATCAGGCACTCTCAAGGCTGCGTGGACGGCGATGGCGACGAGACCCAGAGTTATTCCCGACATCAGAACGGAGCCGACGGAGGTCAGACCGAAGATCACCAGGACAGAAATCGCGATCATGCCCAGAAGTTTCTCGGTTTCGCTCAAGGTTCGTCCACCAATCACCAGCGGCTGTGAGTGGATCATGAAGAGATAGACCCAGGCTGCACCGAGGAATCCGAGCCAGAAGATGGAGATGGGGTTCCACAGGATGCTGAGAGCGACCATGCCGAGAATAATCGCGAGGTAGTTAGCCTTGAAATACACGATGTTCTTTCGGATCCTGCTGAGAGCATCGTTGAAACCCTCGGGCTTCGCGATCTGAGACCGGTCTGCTACTTCAGACCAAGGACGCTGCTGAGCGATCACTGCTTGGAAGGACTCGGAAACTTTGGCTAGGGAGGCCTTTACAGCTGCGACCTGCGGATTCACGGAAGCTCCATCAGCACCGTCGACGACGACTTGTGGTTCCGCCATGGCTGCAGAGCAAGAAAGGGTCAGTAACTGGCAGGCTAAGGCCGGAGCTGATTTAGCTGGGAGGAATGACTAACAGATGCTACTGTACCCGTGTGTCTCTCTTGAGGTGACCACTGACCACCAAAGGAGGAGTTCTAGTAGGTAAGAATTTGGAGACTTCCTGACTCCGAAGACAGATTATAGGATTTGGCAGAAAAATTTCACAACATTGGTGAATCACCACCACATTTCAACCGCAAAGAGGAGTTGTTGAAGAACCTAGGTTCGGATGGTTGTGAGACAAGCGGTACGTGGGCGACGGAAGGTTTGGCCAAGGTTCGGAGGGGTGAGAATGTTCGTTCGGTTCAGGTTTGGGCAAGCTTGGCGGGGTGACCGTTTCGGTGCGGTCAGCCTAGGTGCACCTCTGGTTGGCGAAACGTTGCCGGAAACCATGCCTCGGGGTTCTTCTGGTTTGACTTGCGTGGAGGCTGGGGCTGTTGCCGAAAAATTGTCCCTGTTATGGTTACTAGACGAAAAGCTCTGCGAACTCTTTCATTCGTCAGATGAGGTGGCTTGAAATTTTGCGGCTCACAGCAACCAGGCGACATTCGCCAGTGCCGTGCTGCGAGGCGAGCTGGAAGGAGCTTCGCGGCGGCCTAGGAAAAAACGTGCTGAATGAGGTTGACTGGTGGTTCGGGTGCCTACCTGTTGGTGTTGGAACTGGTTAGGCTCGTTGTAAGAAAGGATGAAAGTCGGTTGGGTCTGGTTCAATGTAGCTCATGAAAGCCATCAAATTGAACCCTGCCAGGACGACCTCCAGGACAACACCCTCACCCGACACGAATGGGGCACAGTGAATTGAAACGGGACATGCGCTCTCTCGAAGTTCATATCCAGATAACCGAGTTCGTTGGGCGTGTCATTACTATAGCGGATGAATCAGGTGTTTCGTGTTCGTCTAGAGGAGTCCAACAAGTTTCCGAACCTACAATCTAGCTGGAACGCGCCGTAAGAACACGCCCTCTCAGTTTCGACTTCAGTTTCTGGTTCATGCTGATTGCAGGCCTTTGCCCTCAGTGTAACAAGACTCCAGACCAGACCGCCACCTCTGATAGTCAACCTGTTTCCTAAGGAGGTGTCATTTGACCTGTCCTTAGGAGGTGTCCTGTCCTTACGAGGTGTCCTGCAACTTGCGACTGAACTTTTCTCCACCCGCGAACAGTACTGCTTCCGCCGATGGCGGAGCCTCGAGCGCATAACGCTCCGCGAACACCCGCGGAATCGTGCCTCAGGGGGCTCGCTATGGCGGAGCTAGCTGGAGCCGCAGGCTTCGCATCTGCGGAACCTTCGCACGCTGTGTCTTTAGGGATGCCTGAAAATACTTCCCGATCTGGACGCACGCTGTGCTCTCAGTGTCAGCAGGAGCCCGCTAAGTACAGGTGTCCTGGCTGCGCTGCTGCCACGTGTAGCGTGCCCTGCGTTAAGGCGCACAAAGCGGCGAACGGGTGCACGGGGAAGCGGAACCGGGCAGAGTTTGTTCCTATAGCGAAGTTCGACGATAACCAGCTAGTGTCAGGTTTGACCATTGTCTCATCATTAGTAATGATTGCAGATTTCGACCGTGCCGTGTAGCGAGATTGTCTTGTTGCGAGTTTTGGTGATACCCCCAAACCCCGCGAAATCCCGAGTAAACCCCCCATTACAAGCCTTGTTCTTCTGACGATAGGCATCAGACCTCCATACGACCTCCTCCTAGGGTGCGACCTCCCCGAGTAAACCCCTGTTGACAAGCCTTGTTCTTCTGATGATAGGCATCAGACCTCCATGCGACCTCCTCCTAGGGGTGCGACCTCCCCGAGTAAACCCCCGATGACACGCCTTGTTCTTCTGTTGATAGGCATCAGACCTCCATGCGACCTCCTAGTATCGATAGCCTAAACCATCTGCTGCTTCAGCTGCGATAGCCGTTAATCTCAACCCAGTGGTTTAATGGCATGAAGCCTCCATGCGACCTCCTAGTATCGACAGCCTAAACCATCTGCTGCTTCAGCTGCGATAGCCATAAATCTCCTGCCGCCCTGCACCCAAAGGGGTTCGACCCAGAACCCCTTAAACCCTTGTGCTTCTCGAATCCTGACCCCATTGGTCCCCTGTCCATCTACTCTCTGCCCCCCTCCCCTGCCGCCCAGCACACAAAGGGGTTCAACCCAGAACCCCTTAAACCCGTGTGCTTCTAGAATCCGGATCCCATTGGTCCCCTGCCAATCTGACCTCTGCCCCCCTCCCCTGCCGCCCCTGAGATTCCTTCTTCCATGCTCCTGGGCCCCTTCCCCCCATCCTGCTCCCCTCTTCCCCCCCTCATCCTCCTCCCCTCCCCCCCCCCTTATCCTCCTCCCCTACCCCCCCCTCATCCTCCTCCCCTCCCCCCCCTCATCCTCCTCCCCTCCCCCCCCCTCATCCTCCTCCCCTCCCCCCCCCTCATCCTCCTCCCCTCCCTCCTCCGCCTGCTTCCCTTCTTCCCCTCCCCCTCCCCCTACCCGCCAGACCTGCGTTTCCTGGAAGATGCGTTGGTGCAGTATGACGTGGCGAAGCGCACGCGGATGACGCTAGGGGTCCGATATGAGGCACAGGTGTGCCCAGGGTTCGGGGGTTTCGGGTTTCGGGTTTAGGCGTGCTTCTGCAAGGAAGAAGGAAGGAAGGTTCCTTCGCTTGTAAAAGGTCAGTTAACTTTGTCGGGGGAGAAAGACTGGGTTCAGAATGTATTAAAAAAAGCTGAAAGAAAAAATATAGGCAAGTCAGAAACGGTTGACGCTGAGTGTGCGGAATGAGTGAGTGTGCGGAATGAGTGAGTGTGCAGAATGAGTGAGTGTGCGGAATGAGGGAGTGTGCAGAATGAGTGAGTGTGCAGAATGAGTGAATGTGCAGGATGAGTGAGTGTGCGGAATGAGTGAGTGTGCAGAATGAGTGAGTGTGCGGAATGAGTGAGTGTGCGGAATGAGTGAGTGTGCGGAATGAGTGAGTGTGCAGAATGAGTGAGTGTGCGGAATGAGGGAGTGTGCAGAATGAGTGAGTGTGCAGAATGAGTGAATGTGCAGAATGATTGAGTGTGCGGAATGAGTGAGTGTGCAGAATGAGTGAGTGTGCGGAAAGAGTGAGTGTGCGGAATGAGTGAGTGCAGAATGAGTGAGTGTGCAGAATGAGTGAGTGTGCAGAATGAGTGAGTGTGCGGAATGAGTGAGTGTGCAGAATGAGTGAGTGTGCAGAATGAGTGAGTGTGCAGAATGAGTGAGTGGGCAGAATGAGTGAGTGTGCAGAATGAGTGAGTGTGCAGAATGAGTGAGTGTGCAGAATGAGTGAGTGTGCGGAATGAGTGAGTGTGCAGAATGAGTGAGTGTGCAGAATGAGTGAGTGTGCAGAATGAGTGAGTGTGCAGAATGAGTGAGTGTGCAGAATGAGTGAGTGCAGAATGAGTGAGTGTGCAGAATGAGTGAGTGCAGAATGAGTGAGTGTGCAGAATGAGTGAGTGTGCAGAATGAGTGAGTGTGCAGAATGAGTGAGTGTGCAGAATGAGTGAATGTGCAGAATGAGTGAGTGTGCAGAATGAGTGAGTGTGCAGAATGAGTGAGTGTGCAGAATGAGGGAGTGTGCAGAATGAGTGAGTGTGCAGAATGAGTGAATGTGCAGAATGAGTGAGTGTGCTGAATGAGTGAGTGTGCAGAATGAGTGAGTGTGCGGAATGAGGGAGTGTGCAGAATGAGTGAGTGTGCAGAATGAGTGAATGTGCAGAATGAGTGAGTGTGCTGAATGAGTGAGTGTGCAGAATGAGTGAGTGTGCAGAATGAGTGAGTGTGCGGAATGAGTGAGTGTGCAGAATGAGTGAGTGTGCGGAATGAGTGAGTGTGCGGAATGAGTGAGTGTGCAGAATGAGTGAGTGTGCAGAATGAGTGAGTGTGCAGAATGAGTGAGTGTGAAGCATGCAGTGAGTGGTGCAGAATGAGTGAGTGTGCAGAATGAGTGAGTGCAGAATGAGTGAGTGTGCGGAATGAGTGAGTGCAGAATGAGTGAGTGTGCAGAATGAGTGAATGTGCAGAATGAGTGAGTGTGCAGAATGAGTGAGTGCAGAATGAGTGAGTGTGCAGAATGAGTGAGTGCAGAATGAGTGAATGTGCAGAATGAGTGAGTGTGCAGAATGAGTGAGTGTGCAGAATGAGTGAGTGTGCGGAATGAGGGAGTGTGCAGAATGAGTGAGTGTGCAGAATGAGTGAATGTGCAGAATGAGTGAGTGTGCTGAATGAGTGAGTGTGCAGAATGAGTGAGTGTGCGGAATGAGGGAGTGTGCAGAATGAGTGAGTGTGCAGAATGAGTGAATGTGCAGAATGAGTGAGTGTGCTGAATGAGTGAGTGTGCAGAATGAGTGAGTGTGCGGAATGAGTGAGTGTGCGGAATGAGTGAGTGTGCAGAATGAGTGAGTGTGCAGAACGAGTGAGTGTGCAGAATGAGTGAGTGTGCGGAATGAGTGAGTGTGCGGAATGAGTGAGTGTGCAGAATGAGTGAGTGTGCAGAATGAGTGAGTGTGCAGAATGAGTGAGTGTGCAGAATGAGTGAGTGTGCAGAATGAGTGAGTGCAGAATGAGTGAGTGTGCGGAATGAGTGAGTGCAGAATGAGTGAGTGTGCAGAATGAGTGAATGTGCAGAATGAGTGAGTGTGCAGAATGAGTGAGTGTGCAGAATGAGTGAATGTGCAGAATGAGTGAGTGTGCAGAATGAGTGAGTGTGCAGAATGAGTGAATGTGCAGAATGAGTGAGTGTGCAGAATGAGTGAGTGTGCAGAATGAGTGAATGTGCAGAATGAGTGAGTGTGCAGAATGAGTGAGTGTGCAGAATGAGTGAGTGTGCAGAATGAGTGAGTGTGCAGAATGAGTGAGTGTGCAGAATGAGTGAATGTGCAGAATGAGTGAGTGTGCAGAATGAGTGAGTGTGCAGAATGAGTGAATGTGCAGAATGAGTGAGTGTGCAGAATGAGTGCGTGTGCGGAATGAGTGAGTGTGCAGAATGAGTGAGTGTGCAGAATGAGTGAGTGTGCAGAATGAGTGAGTGTGCAGAATGAGTGAGTGTGCAGAATGAGTGAGTGTGCAGAATGAGTGAATGTGCAGAATGAGTGAGTGTGCAGAATGAGTGAATGTGCAGAATGAGTGAGTGTGCAGAATGAGTGAGTGTGCAGAATGAGTGAATGTGCAGAATGAGTGAGTGTGCAGAATGAGTGAGTGTGCAGAATGAGTGAGTGTGCGGAATGAGTGAGTGTGCAGAATGAGTGAGTGTGCAGAATGAGTGAGTGTGCGGAATGAGTGAGTGTGCCCGAATGAGTGAGTGTGCAGAATGAGTGAGTGTGCAGAATGAGTGAGTGTGCAGAATGAGTGAGTGTGCAGAATGAGTGAGTGTGCAGAATGAGTGAGTGTGCAGAATGAGTGAATGTGCAGAATGAGTGAGTGCAGAATGAGTGAATGTGCAGAATGAGTGAGTGTGCAGAATGAGTGAGTGTGCAGAATGAGTGAATGTGCAGAATGAGTGAGTGTGCAGAATGAGTGAGTGTGCAGAATGAGTGAGTGTGCAGAATGAGTGAATGTGCAGAATGAGTGAGTGTGCAGAATGAGTGAGTGTGCAGAACGAGTGAGTGTGCAGAATGAGTGAGTGTGCGGAATGAGTGAGTGTGCGGAATGAGTGAGTGTGCAGAATGAGTGAGTGTGCAGAATGAGTGAGTGTGCAGAATGAGTGAGTGTGCAGAATGAGTGAGTGTGCAGAATGAGTGAGTGTGCAGAATGAGTGAGTGTGCAGAATGAGTGAGTGTGCAGAATGAGTGAGTGTGCAGAATGAGTGAGTGCAGAATGAGTGAGTGTGTGGAATGAGTGAGTGCAGAATGAGTGAGTGTGCAGAATGAGTGATGTGCAGAATGAGTGAGTGTGCAGAATGAGTGAGTGTGCAGAATGAGTGAATGTGCAGAATGAGTGAGTGTGCAGAATGAGTGAGTGTGCAGAATGAGTGAATGTGCAGAATGAGTGAGTGTGCAGAATGAGTGAATGTGCAGAATGAGTGGTGTGCAGAATGAGTGAGTGTGCAGAATGAGTGAATGTGCAGAATGAGTGAGTGTGCAGAATGAGTGAGTGTGCAGAATGAGTGAGTGTGCGGAATGAGTGAGTGTGCCAGAATGAGTGAGTGTGCAGAATGAGTGAGTGTGCGGAATGAGTGAGTGTGCCCGAATGAGTGAGTGTGCAGAATGAGGAGTGTGCGGAATGAGTGAGTGTGCCCGAATGAGTGAGTGTGCAGAATGAGTGAGTGTGCAGAATGAGTGAGTGTGCAGAATGAGTGAGTGTGCAGAATGAGTGAGTGTGCAGAATGAGTGAGTGTGCAGAATGAGTGAGTGTGCAGAATGAGAGTGGCAGAATGATTGAGTGTGCGGAATGAGTGAGTGTGCGGAATGAGTGAGTGTGCAGAATGAGTGAGTGTGCAGAATGAGTGAGTGTGCGGAATGAGTGAGTGTGCAGAATGAGTGAGTGTGCGGAATGAGTGAGTTTGCGGAATGAGTGAGTGTGCAGAATGAGTGAGTGTGCGGAATGAGTGAGTGTGCGGAATGAGTGAGTGTGCGGAATGAGTGAGTGTGCAGAATGAGTGAGAGTGCGGAATGAGTGAGTGTGCAGAATGAATGAGTGTGCGGAATGAGTGAGTGTGCGGAATGAGTGAGTGTGCGGAACGAGTGAGTGTGCGGAATGAGTGAGTGTGTAGAATGAGTGAGTGTGCGGAATGAGTGAGTGTGCAGAATGAGTGAGTGTGCGGAATGAGTGAGTGTGCGGAATGAGTGAGTGTGCGGAATGAGGGAGTGTGCAGAATGAGTGAGTGTGCAGAATGAGTGAATGTGCAGAATGAGTGAGTGTGCTGAATGAGTGAGTGTGCAGAATGAGTGAGTGTGCAGAATGAGTGAGTGCAGAATGAGTGAGTGTGCAGAATGAGTGAGTGCAGAATGAGTGAGTGTGCAGAATGAGTGAGTGTGCAGAATGAGTGAATGTGCAGAATGAGTGAGTGTGCAGAATGAGTGAGTGTGCAGAATGAGTGAGTGTGCAGAATGAGGGAGTGTGCAGAATGAGTGAGTGTGCAGAATGAGTGAATGTGCAGAATGAGTGAGTGTGCTGAATGAGTGAGTGTGCAGAATGAGTGAGTGTGCGGAATGAGGGAGTGTGCAGAATGAGTGAGTGTGCAGAATGAGTGAATGTGCAGAATGAGTGAGTGTGCTGAATGAGTGAGTGTGCAGAATGAGTGAGTGTGCAGAATGAGTGAGTGTGCGGAATGAGTGAGTGTGCGGAATGAGTGAGTGTGCGGAATGAGTGAGTGTGCAGAATGAGTGAGTGTGCAGAATGAGTGAGTGTGCAGAATGAGTGAGTGTGAAGCATGAGTGAGTGTGCAGAATGAGTGAGTGTGCAGAATGAGTGAGTGCAGAATGAGTGAGTGTGCGGAATGAGTGAGTGCAGAATGAGTGAGTGTGCAGAATGAGTGAATGTGCAGAATGAGTGAGTGTGCAGAATGAGTGAGTGCAGAATGAGTGAGTGTGCAGAATGAGTGAGTGCAGAATGAGTGAATGTGCAG